TATATATATATATATATACATATATATTGACCATATCCAACTTTGGTGCATGTGAACCCATTCTAGAAATCTCCGTTTGGTCCTGTCGATAATCTGGACAGCCCACCGATACCACTTGGTGAATTTCAGCCACCACTGCTCCCAGCAATAAGGAGCAGTTCAATCTGTGATTCTGTAGCAAGTCAAAATGTGTGGATTTTGTATGAGTCTTGGAGTAAATACATCGTGTCATGCATAAATTGCTCCCTTTGCATGTGACACACCCACTCTGGTGCACTTTAGATCATCTCAAAGTGTTCGCTGACCACTGCTAGTCCGAAAACCCCTCAGACGCGAGCCAGATCATCCAGTTTGTCACCTCCGCAACCCACCAAGATGCCCACACGTCCCACCGTTCCCCAAAGAGCCCCATCTACACGGTTGTCCACTGTTCCAACAAGTCCTGATGCGCCTACTTCCAAATCACCGCCCTCAACGCACAGCCGAACTCACGACATTGTGCAGGTACTGTTTAACCATTTACTACACTAACACAATGCCATATGGGAAGCAGAACTTGACACATTTTATGTCACATGACTTGCCTTATCGGTCTTTGCTAAAAGAGAGTTCGAGAATAATACTCAGTGCTTGAGGCGCGGACTTATCGACCGGAAGGTCCGCGTGGTTCGAACCCAACCTCTGCATCTCGACTGCTTTTGTCTGGGCTTGAGCAACGTGACAGTATCTCAGCCACCGTGCTGACTTCGGGTGGCATGGCAGCTGGGCACCGGAAGGCTGCTACAGCTGAACGACTGATTGATTGATTGATTAATTAATTAATTAATTAATTAATTAATTAATTGATATAGTCTTAGATTCTCGACTTATGCGTCATTTTCATGTTTCATTTCCCATTTTTTCCGCATTTCAAATCCAGTCATGCATTTCTTCACAGCAGTCCCACAGCGCAGCGGAATCATCACTAGATCAGCAGCCTGTCCCACCCGTGAATGAGATGATCCGCAGGTTCGATATCCTGACAACCGCAGACTCTGGCCAACCAACTGTCACTGTTCGTGACAAAGCCTCAGCGCAGCCACCGACTCAGTCGAAACCGCGAACCGAAGCGACACATCCGTCTCATTGTAGGTCCCATCCACGTGTTATTGCTCTCTTCTGTTTGTTTTTTCTATGGCTAGTGAACGTTTCTTCCGGTTAACTAACCTTTCGCTATCTGTCACATACCTGCGATTTCATTTATACTTT